GGGCCCGAGGCAGGCCTGCTCGCTCCCACCCAGCTAGAGGCGTGGGCTGTTCCCCGCCACAGAGCTCCAGCAAACTTTCCCCTGCCACGTCACAGGCTTGGCCGTGGGACAAAGTCAACGCAAGCCCAGGAGAGAAGTAAGGGGCTAAGCCTGCGCTGGGAACGGGAAGACGGCCTAAAAACCACGCCCCGCAGTGCTCCTAGCTCAGCAGCGCCCGAGTCGCAAGCTGCAGAGTAGCACGGTACGAGCTTCTCCCGGGACAGGAGACTCGGCAGCTCTCAGCACTCTGCTGACAGTACAAGGGCTCCGCTGCTGCCGGCTAACGCTCAGAGCCGACGGCTTCCAAGGTTCTCCTAGCAGCCCAGAGGCCGGGTCAGTCCTACGGACAGACAGCCGCCCCGAGGCAAGCATCTGCCACGTGATCCCTCGGGATGGGGCTGTTGGAGGTGACCTCGGATGGGGGCGCGGCCCTCGGAGCCCAACTGGGGCTGGTTTTTCCAAAGTGGGCGTGCAGGAACGGACCTGCTGGAAATGCAGAACCAAGTCTGGGGGAAGGGCACGTCCTTTCTGTCCCCATGGCCAGGTCTCCTAGGGGGGCTGTCGCGCCTCCACTCATCCCCCAGCACGTGTGTGGACCGGGGGGAGGGGGGCGCGGGGGGAAAAGGGCAGGCTTGGCTCAGGAATGAGGGCTGGAAAGACATGGAGCCAGCCCCATCACCCCTCCCCCCCCTCACCTGTCTGTTGAAATCCTCCTCGTTCTCCATCCACATGTACTCCGCAAAGGGGTTGTTCTCCTTCTCATCGTGTCCGTTCACAGCCGGCTCCTCCTTGGATTTGGTGGTGACCGTCGTCGTATTGGCCACGTTGGAACCATTCATCATTACTGCGCCTGGGGGGGGGAGGGGGGAACCACGGAGTCAGACAGAGGCTAGCCTTGGCCAGAGGGGGGTGGGTGGCTCTTGGGTCTCACTCCGCCGGGTGGCAGAGCTGCCAAGCCCCCTGTGGAAGGGCCGGGTGTCCTGATCTCCGAAGAGAACTCCCCTTGGGGTGTGGTGCCGACCACACGTGTCCCAGGCCTGGCGGAGAAGATCAGGAAGATCTGTCCCCATTTACATTCAGTTAATGAAAGTGTCCTTGGCCAGAGGGGGGTGGGTGGCTCTTGGGTCTCACTCCGCCGGGTGGCAGAGCTGCCAAGCCCCCTGTGGAAGGGCCGGGTGTCCTGATCTCCGAAGAGAACTCCCCTTGGGGTGTGGTGCCGACCACACGTGTCCCAGGCCTGGCGGAGAAGATCAGGAAGATCTGTCCCCATTTACATTCAGTTAATGAAAGTGTCTCTCTCTGCAAAGACCCCATGGGGAGACAGCGCCTGCAAGGGAAGTCCTGCCGTGCGGTTGCCCCAACTCTATGAACCCCACCAGCTACGCTGACAGAAACCCCCTTGGCACAGCCGTGTGTACGGGGGTGGGGGAGCACCAGAGTAGCATGTCACCGAGCGGGGGGGGGGGGGAAGTGTAGATCTGGGCTTAGCCACCCGCCTAGAGCCACGCAGAGTCAGCGGCAAGGCTTGGGACAGACGCCAGCTCTCCGATTCCCAGCCCTGGGCCTTGCCACCCCGTCCTCTTCGTCCCATTCGGGGGAAAGGAGCAACAATTCAGATTCTCTCCACATGAACTCATCCACACCGCCCTGTGCCCGATTCCTATGAAACCACTTCACCACACAGGCGGTACGCACTATCCGCAGGCAAACAGCGCCCCACACTCAAATAACCACACAGGTGGTACCCACTATCCACAGGCTAACACCACCCCACACCTGAAACACCACACAGGCGGTATGCCCTATCTGCAAGCTAGCACCGCCCGACACCCAATTCACCACACAGGCGGTATGCACTATCTGCAAGCTAGCACCGCCCGACACCCAATTCACCACACAGGCGGTATGCACTATCTGCAAGCTAGCACCGCCCGACACCCAATTCACCACACAGGCGGTATGCACTATCTGCAAGCTAGCACCGCCCGACACCCAATTCACCACACAGGCGGTATGCACTATCTGCAAGCTAGCACCGCCCGACACCCAATTCACCACACAGGCGGTATGCACTATCTGCAAGCTAGCACCGCCCGACACCCAATTCACCACACAGGCGGTATGCACTATCTGCAAGCTAGCACCGCCCGACACCCAATTCACCACACAGGCGGTATGCACTATCTGCAAGCTAGCACCGCCCGACACCCAATTCACCACACAGGCGGTATGCACTATCTGCAAGCTAGCACCGCCCGACACCCAATTCACCACACAGGCGGTATGCACTATCTGCAAGCTAGCACCGCCCGACACCCAATTCACCACACAGGCGGTATGCACTATCTGCAAGCTAGCACCGCCCGACACCCAATTCACCACACAGGCGGTATGCACTATCTGCAAGCTAGCACCGCCCGACACCCAATTCACCACACAGGCGGTATGCACTATCTGCAAGCTAGCACCGCCCGACACCCAATTCACCACACAGGCGGTATGCACTATCTGCAAGCTAGCACCGCCCGACACCCAATTCACCACACAGGCGGTACGCACTATCCACAGGCTAACACCACCCCACACCTGAAACACCACACAGGCGGTATGCACTATCTGCAAGCTAGCACCGCCCGACACCCAATTCACCACACAGGCGGTA